TATGCCGCTCTTCTATAATCATAATGAACTGGACTGTGGCCAATTTCCACTATAGGCTATCATTTCGGTCCATCTGTACCCCCTTCCCGTTCCTTCCGCGGCACTTTCTCCCTCTAACACATGGTGTTATTTACACATTTATGACACTGAAGTATGAGCCAGTCTATAGAGAGGAGCTGCTGCCATGTCTCCAGACTGACTCCCTGCAGTTCTCGCTATTCTAATACCACTTGGGATTCACTAAGCAGTGTAGGGTTTTTTTGTTTTTTGTTTTTTTGCCAGCGCCAGGTGAAGTAAGTTATCGAAACAAGAGCGAAGGCCAGTCTCAGGAACAGAGAGAAAGGGGGGCTTATCATGTATCAGCTCACGGCAAGCTGGAGGATTATCTGTGGATCTGCAGCCGGACTGGCGGTGCTGGGAGAGATAGGAGACTGGTGGGGGAGATAAGAGAAGTACCGGCTGTGCAGAGACAGGCAGCTTTAGAGCAAGGCACTGACGATAACTTGAACAAAGCGAGGAACCTAAAAGAAGTGTGTGTGTGGGGGGGGGGAGAGAACAGGTATTCAACGAAAGGAAGAGAAAAAAAATCCAGTGGGAGCCGAAGGGGAAGGAGAAACGAGGAGGGGAGGGGTAGATGGGGTATGAGGGGTAGATAATGTACGAGTGTGGGAGCAAAATTGAGATTAAGAGAGAGCGTGAAAAGGGGATATGAGGGAGAACAAATCATACCGATGCAGGCAATGAAAAAAAAGTGATACAACAGAAATTCAGGTAAGATGTGCAGATGAGATTACAGTAAGGAAGAGGAGGAGGAGTGCGAGAAGGGGGGGAGGGAGTGTGAGAGTGGGAAGAGAGGGGTCCCAGCGGTCAAATAAATGAGCCGTTATTGGTTTGATCAGCAAGGCGAAGAAGTGCTTCACTACATCGCGGAGAGATAATGGCCATGTGTGTACGGATCACCTCCTACCTGCCTCCCCGGCCTGAAAACATAACACATGCACACACACACCGCCCACTCTGCGTCTATACGCTCGGGGACGCCACGTGAACACCCAAAACTATAAGACAAGAGATCACTGGTTATAGTTAATGCTTAATCACTGCAACTTTAATGGCTCTAAATGATACATCTGTGCCAATCGTGACTTTTGGGAACACAAGTGCTGTTAATAAAGTCATTAGTGAGCAATTACTCAGCTCTCATTTAGGCCCGTAACATAATCGGCGACAGGCGCACAGACAAGACGGGCAGGCCAGCGTGTGCGGGCAAACACATCTGCAGCCATTAAAGTCTCCTCTTCAAGAAAAACCCCACTCATCTAAACCCCATGCATCTGTCCCATTACACACATGTGTGGGGGAAAATGGTGTCTCTTGCTTACTCGCTTTATTTAAAAAAACAACAACAAAAGTCTAAATACTACTACATAAAAAAGCAAATTCAGCACTCTACTAAACTGTCTATAAAACATGAGGCATCTGGGTTTTTATGATGGATTTGACTTATAGGTCTCAAAATTAAAGACAATTAGGTGGTTATTAAAGCTTGTTTATGCCAATGAAAAACACCCATATGTCAAAATTTTGACTTACTCAAAAGTTTGAGTTAAAAATCCAAAGTTAAGTTAAAATGAACTCTGCCTGGCAAAAAAAGAGAAAGAAAGAAAAAGGGAAAAAACTCAGTGATGGAAACAAGTTCCATAGATGGTGCCATAAACCTGCATTTTTAATTTATTTCCAGCAGAGGGAGACTCATCTGGGTCCAAGAGGAAGCCTGGCTGTACAGGAGTCTAAGATAAAGTGGTAATGATGCTCACCTCAGAGCTGAAAAATGAAACCAGTCCATAAACTGCAGTTCCTCTAGTGGCCACTTGAGGCTGGCTACAAAAGTGAGTCAGTCGCCACTGACTTCTATGTTTAAATTGCCAACATACACCATTAAAAGGAATATTTGCAGCCTAGTATTAAATACAGTTTTGGCATCTATGGATTATTTAACCTTTATAACAACTGTACAGCAATGACATGTTTTATAAGTCAATTGTTTTGATGTTTTTAAGGCTTAAAAGCTGTGGCAACACAGGTAGCTTCAGTCAATAGCTGCCTTTAAGCTTGAGTCACACAAGCCTAGATATCAGTGTGTTAGCACAGGCCCTGAAAGAAAAAATGTGTATTATGCAGTAGCTGGAGGTTGCTAGCAGTCGCTAGCATAAAACTGGTTGAAATAGAGATACACAGTGCTACACCAAAAACTTCTTGTAGTTCCTTTGGTTGTTAGCAAGTTACTGTGGTACCCTCAGTCTGCACGGAAAACAGCAGGTTGCCTGTAAATGATGCAAACCAGAAATAATGATATTCTGCCTTTAGAGAAGAAGTGGTTTGCTTAAAATGTGTTGGGTGGAGCAGTAAGGCATAACTTTTACAATGAAGGCGAATGTTTTCTGTTTGTGAACTCCATCACATTTTTTCGCAATTACTGCTCAGAGAGTAAATGCAGAGACCGCAGACAAGCCGGCGTTATTCATGTCAACTGTGGGTGACTGTGGTAACATGCTAGCAGGCAAAGCAATCACAAGGAAGTTTCTGGTGGAGCACCGTCAGGAACTTCCAGCGACGGTTCAAGTCTGTGCTTCAGTTTTAATGAGTGAAATTCACAGCAGTATTTTAATCAGTCTGTTAATTAAGACTAATTAGCAGATGTCTGTGTCTTTGTGTTGCTCACATACAGTTTATGGATGCTACTTGCTCAGCTTGCTAACCCGAGTTTGTTAGCCTTAGCCAATTACTCCATCCACTTGCCCAAATACAGCAAATACAGGCTCCACAAACCAATATGGTCAGCAGCCAAAATGCTAGATTTGAAGCTTCCACCAAACAATGGGTGACATCATGGCTTCATAGGTATGTCCACTTCCTATGTAAAGTCTATCCTAACGAGTTTGTTTTTGGTCTTATTAGTTTAAGAGAAGATTATGAATTTTACTTAGCAAATCATGCTCCCATTCGGAGTAAAATAATCAATAAAGCAGGCTGTGATTCAGCCCATGGCTAGCATGTGATTAACACAGTGTTACCTATTAGCACGCATACTTGCTTACTGGTTAAAAAAACAAGAGAGCGACATCTGAAAACACTCATCTCAAGGACTCAGCACAAGTGAAGACTTTGTTAACCCACCGGTGACATCACAGTTTATGGCCTTGTTTTCTTTTACATATGCTTTACTCTGTTAACACTTATGACCTGTCCTGACAAGTTTCTGAGTCAGGTATAACCTACAGTGAAGATTAAGCCAAGATTACGATTTTGCCTTTCTGCACCCTCTCCTCACTGTCTTTGGATAACAACCAGGTCATCAAATCGAGATTAGTCCACTTACAATTATTAAAATATTAATGAAGTGCAATTATCTAGTAATTAATGAGATAAAAGTCTGAAGACAGAAAACAAATTTTTTTTCTGTAGCAGAATATTTTGTTTTTAATCATCTCATTACGCCTCAGGTTTTTCTTTCAACTCCTTGGTGGGGTTACAAATCCCCATGTTGGGACTGTTCTAATCAAACATTCAGCTGGCCTCAACACATCCCTGCTTTAATGGAAAGAACCATGATTTTAAAATAAAGAACAAAAACAAGATGATAATTAGCAGCTCATACACCTCTCTCAACACTAAAGTGTCCAAGATGCTGCTACATTCATATGCTTCCACTGAAGTGTGCAATTTCAGTTTTTGGAAAATACCCAGTTTCTATTTCTTACCATTGTAAAAAAAAAAAGGCCCTGAGGTATTTTAACCAGAAGAATCCAGTAACACCACCCTGCTGCGTGTCAGGCTTACACGAGGAAAGTCGCCTCATCCTTACTCAGCAATGCCCACCTCATATTTATGTGGTCATGGACACAAACACACACACGACACGGTGGAGGAGAGAATTTTGGTTCCTACCAGAGTTTGGCTGTAATGATGACTGCTGTCAGGATGAGCAGCGAGGAGATGGTCACGGTGACATAGAACTGTGGGTCCACTGTAACACACACATTTACACACACACTCACGAAGTTATTCATCTCAGATTGTTTAGCTGTATCCAGAACAAAAGAAGAAAACAGTGTAGCCAGCTGAAACATCAAATTGGACGTGCAAGACTCTAGCCTCCAACTATCACACCCATCCGATGACGTCTCCTCTGTGTTTTGCAGTTATGACAGCGGCTAATTCTTCCCTGTGAGTGATGAGAACTTTATTAGGCAATCCCCGCCGCAGACACAGCCGGGTGCACACAGCTGGGTGTCAGCCTTCACCCTCATGACAGCTAATTCCCTAGAGGACTCCTGGCATGTGAGTGTGTTCGCTCACTGCAACTCATGGACACCTTTATTTAGAAATCCTTCATCTCTTGATGCCCACCTTCCTCAGGCTCTGTCTCCTCTGCCTCAGTCCCACCATCCTCCACTCCCTTCTTGGGCTCCAGTGGTGGCTGCATGCTTTCGTCAGGGTAAAGCCAGTTCTCAGGCGTGGCGGTGCTGGCCTCTTGCTGGTTCCCATGCAGGTACAGGTGATCGGTTTCCTGGCTGGAGAGGAAGTGGTAGGTCTCGTCCTCCAGCTGCTGCGTGGGACCCCAGACCACCGCCCACAGAGGGGTGGGCGTGACTTGGGCGGTGACGGACAGCTGGACCGACAGGGCGTCCACCTGCTCCTCGGCCTCTCTGTCGTCACGGTTACAGGTGGAGGGCTGTGTCACCAAAGCAACCAGGAGGAGAGAGATGAGGCCAGTCAGTCGTGCGACAGGAGAGATGGAGCTGGAAGGAAAGGTGAAGGAGAAAGGATGAGAGAGGGTGGAGTGACAGGACAGTTATCTGAGAAAATGCATTGTCCGCGGCCGCCCTGCACGACCTCAACAGCTTAGACATTGATTCTCAAGCCGGCCATCACTCAGAATGACATTTTATGCATCTGCGTCCCACACATCTCTCCACCTCAGAAACTATCCATCTTACCATCTCTCCATCGCTTCACTCTGTTCACTGAGACTCCTCTTCTCCGATCATCTCTCTCTGTAAGATAAAACAGAGGGGCAAGAGAGGAATAAAAGCCAGAAAGGGGGGAGGGTCCTGCTTTTTGTCGCCTCCTTTCTTCTTCTTCTTCTTGTGTTTTGCCACATAAAATCCATGTAAACACAGACAGCAGCAAGAGTGCTGGCGAAAAGCCAACTCTGTCACATTTTGAAAGAAGCACACACGCGGACTCCCCGGGGCATCACAATCTAAAGCTCAACTGTCCGCCACATGTTCACACACATCTGCATGGTGAAAAAAAAAAACATCCAGAAGTACACACCGGTCGTCTGCTCTGCCCTGTCACACACATCCACAGCGCACACACACCTGAGCATGGCACATTAATCATCATTAGAGTCGTCATGCATGGAGCGAGCACTCTATAAGTCACTTTGAGCAGAGAGAGATAACTTCCTATCAACAACTACTGCATAAATGCCACAGAAATGTCACTCAGAGACACACGAACACAGGCGCTCCGACACATATCAGTTATCATGCCTACCTCTGGCTGTGGAGAGAGGGAATGAGAGAGGGAGACAGAGAGAAAGGGGGAGATACAGCGAGAGAGAGAGAGAGAGGGAGGGAGGGGAAAAAAAAGCATCGGTTGCCTTAGCGACTGAGACATGCAGAGTCTGGTGGAGTAAGAGAGGGGAGAGAGAGCGACGTGGGGAGGGCAAGAGACTGTAGGAAAGAGATTTAAATGCTAATTATGTGTTTTTTTTTTAATGGGTTCAATTAAACGGACACAGAGGAAAAAGAAATGAATTTGACGAGCCAAACAGAAATGATACCGAGGACGACATTAATAAGCTCATTTTGGAGGCGGAGGTTAAAAAAAAAAGAAGAAACCTCTCCAATTGTGTTTACAAAGACAGCAAGGACACCCCAGAGAGAAAAAAAGAGACAGAAATACAGACAGTAAAGAGGAAGAGGCGCGAGAGAAAGGGATGACGGGAATAAAATTTAATTTACATTCATTTACGCTGGCAGGGGAGGCTAAAGAACTGGTGTTTCCAGAGGAGACGGGGTCAGACGGAAATACAAAAAGAGCAAAAAAGAGATGCAAATTTGTTGGTGAGAGTCACAGTGTGACAGCTTTATTGTATGTGAAAATAATATTTACACAGAAAACAATCTGCTTATCGCGCTCACACGCACACTCGCTCACTTTCTCCTTCCAACACTGATACTCGGTCTGTCACACTTCACACCCCTGCACCCTCCCTCGCTGTCACTTCGCTCCCACCCTCTCATTTCCTCTTCATGGCTGCAGGCCGTGGTGTTCTCGGCACGAGAAAGTGGCGCTCACTGGAGAGCGCAGCGGAGCCACGAGCCGGACCCTGCGTCCTCCTCCGCGGCGGCGGACCGGCTGTCTTTTCCTTCATTGCCGCCTTCGTCGTTATCCTCGTAATCTAAATTAGACGAGGGGGGTCATAACGATTTTTCACGACAAGCATCACCTAAAATTAACACGACCGTATTCATTTCGGCAATTCCACGGTTGCTCATTAAACGTGTGAGGCAGCAAATGAAGATGTGAATGTGTGTGAAATTGCAGCGTGTGTGTGTGTGTACCATCAGTCTCCTCATCATCTTCAGTGTCTCCCTCTGACTCCAGTAAACAGGAATCCATTAGACTGTCTATCCTTGCCGTGACATCACCCCTGTAACATTTACACCCGCAATTAAATAAAGCAGGCGCTTTGAACTCGTTATAGTTCACAGAAGAGCCCGATTTCATCTCAAGTGGACCAAACAGTAAAACTACTGCATAGCAACCTATAGATCACGCTCTGGCAACACTCGCATTTAGAAAACAGATGAAAAACAGCCTGAGATGTCTGAGGGAAAAGGTGCAGCTGAGGAAATACGTCTCAATTTTCCATGTTCACTCAATCTACTCTCATTAGATGTGCATTATAATTTACACAGCTGATCTACAAAGGCACAAAACACTTCATATGTGGAGTAAATCATAACTGAACAACCACAGTATGTTCTGATTAATGAGTCCTCAATCGGTGTGTCGTGGAAATACTTTCAACTTTTCACAGATTTTTACTCCCGGTACAGTCAAGCTGGTACCACTGCACCGAGATTTCGTCAAAAAATTGGAAGCATTCATGACTTTTCTTTGCAAACCCGTCCAGTGGACCAGATTGGGCCCTGTGGCAGGCTGGTTCTAGCCCCTTATATTCGCCTTAGATTTAACACCCCCTGAACCAAAAGCATGATATCAAGATAAATGTGTGTGTCAAAATCAATTAAACCCATTAGCACATTAAATCCAATTATAGCTTTAGAATTAAAAGTGCAGCTGACCTCAGAACAAACAATGAATATTCAAATAAGGAAGATAATTGAGCAGCTTGGATCTATAATCTTTTTAAGCCAGTGGTGTTGACAAGTATCGCTCCCACCTTTGCCTCCCGGAACTCGGGAGCTGCTCCCAAACGATGAGGTCTTGACCTCCGGTGACCCATCGGTGGTCTCCGCTCCCAGTGGTCCATGCTGCAAAGCAGATGATTCTGGGAGCGTCAGGCCAGGTCAGAGAGGCCAGGTACCGACACTGAGGCAGAGAGAACACTAGAGAGAGGAGAGAGACATGATGGGACCGGAAGTCAACGGAGGAACATAAAGTGTGTAAAACTGCGTTTTTACATTCTCGGTAAATTAAAATTGGTTTGCTCGTTTTCCAGCAATACAGCACTGGTCCCCAGTCTAGAACCAGTTCCGCATATTTCGCCTCCCCTAAAAAGTAGCTGGCAGAAACACACCATCACCAATCTGCTGGCCTCAAAGCTGGAATTGCTGCGGGATGCAGCCCCCAGACTCTGTCCACAATGATCTCCTTCCCACGGTAATTATCCCAGCTTCTGTTAGCAACACTGCATAATTATTGGTTTTCAAAGGTGCCAAAAAATGGTCTGGTTCTCTGAAGATACCAAAGCACTGCAGGCTTTACAACAGCACCTGCAATGGTAAAAAAAAGAGAGATGTGGGACTCACAATTTAGCCTGCTCTCTCCATTCGCCAGATCGTAGCAGGATCCAATTAGGAGGCCTCCCGTCTGGTGAATACAATCTGTTACTCCGGTGATACTGCTGTGATTGGTCAGTCTGGTCATCGTTCCTGTGATAATTGGACAGATGTTAGGTGGAAGGATTATGCAGATTTCACTAAATCTGCCTTCCTTTTTGGATCTTCCTCTCTGACACACACACAGCCTACCGGTCCTCCAGTGCAGGATTTTGAGCCAGGCTCGACCATAAGCCAGGAACACTCTGTCTCCCCGTGGGCTGAGGGTTAGACGCCCGCACGCCTCCCCTCCGCAGCCTGTCACCTGGCTGTTCCAGTGGTGCAGCAGCCTCAGGGGGTCTCTATCCGAACCCCGGTTCTCCCACACAGACAACCCTCCCTCAGCCGAGCCGCTGAACACCAGTGGACCCTGAGACTGCGGAGGGCACAAGAGACACAGTTGTCATGGTGATTTAAGTCTTTACCCTGTGTGTGTGTCTGTGTACACGTGTCTTAGAGTGAGTGTATGCATGTTAGTGCAAATGCAAGAGAAGTGTGTGAACAGTTTTAAAATGTCTCTGTGCTTCTGCTGCTGGTTATAAATGGATTTTGCGTTTTGCATGATAAACAACACAGAGGATGACAATGATGTGCTACGCTTTAATGCTTCAGGCATATTATGATGATTGCAAATTGAAAAAAAAAATGTGCATATCCAGCTCTGGGTTTCAATATTCATAAAAAAGCCTTTTTTCGCTCAAAATATATACAGTATGCTCTAAAATTGGACGAGCTCCACAGCTTACATCTTAACAAATATCTTTGATTTCCATTTGAAAGCAATAAACAAGGAAAGCTTGCGTGAGGATGATGTGAAGAAATATAGCCATTTGATTTCCGGGGAAGAGGCTTTTTCACAAATTACTAATCAAGAGTTTGAAAAACTACGTTAGACAGCCACAGAAGGGAAACGAAAAAACTCTTCAAGTTAAAAATAGGCTGAAAATGAAAACAGCTTGAGCATCCTCCGTGTGAAGAGAGCGTGATGGTCAGCAGGTGAGTGACCCACCCACCTGGATGGAGGTGACGGCTTCCTGGTGAGCATTGACTGACTGGCAGTTTTGGAAAGTGTCCCAGCTCCAGGCTTGAACTTTCCCCCCGTCTGCGGGGTGACAGAGTGTGAGGTTAATACGCGCTGACAGGCGACTGGCAGTCATTATTGTGGGTTACGGTTGACCCACCTGAGCCTGGCTGCCTAAACTGTGTGCCTCCATCACTGTGATTCAGCTCGATAACTCTGAGCTGCTCTCCCTAACTCACTGGCAGATGATGCCACATTGTCAGACTCTGCATGCATATTAGTCCCATAAACAACAACAACAACAACAAAAAATGGGCACATACATGCACAAAAATAGATATGTCACCAACACATACTGTCCTCAGGAAAACACACCTGATCCAGTGATGATGTAGCCATCCTCCTCCGGCACAAAGCAGAGCGCGGTCACAGCGTTGAATGTGTAGATAGACTTAACACACTGCCCTGAAGGAAACAGTAAAAATCTAATTTAACTGACAGGGCGCAGGCCATCAGTCACACAGGCAAACATTGATTACGATGCACACATTTCCCACACACAACCCTCAGGCTCCATCTACCTATATATGTATGTCACTCTATGTCGCTGTGTGTGTGTGTGTGTGTGTGTGTGTGTGTGTGTGTGTGTGTTTGTGTGGTTAAGCCTACCAATACTCAGGGCCCAGATCTTCACATAGCAGTCCACTGAGCCACTCAAGATAAACCTCTCTTTGTCGGACAAAGACAGGGACCAGGCTGTCGAGGGGGTACGCGCAGACCAAACAAAGAGCAGAATGGGGACAGAGGAGGGGAGACGGAAAGAGAAAAGAGATTACGCTGGCAAAAAGCTGTAAATAAGTGATGATGCGCAAAATAAAAAAGAGGAGACCGCAAGACAAAGACTGAAAATGACTAAAAGGGAACCATGTAATTAGTAAGAGAGACTATGGTTCGACTGAGCTGCGTCATCAGTTCACTTCTAGACTTGGTATTTTAAGTTGGGGAAGCAGGTGGGGAGGGGATGTAGGAGGAGAGCCGGAGATGTGTTGGAGTGCAAATGATGGAAGGCTGCCTGCTTCAGACAGACAGTGAACTCTCTAAAGTGTCCACTGTGGTTACCTCTCTCTGGGCTGATCTGATGAACTGCTCCTATAATTACCAAACCGCAGGACAGAGGCATTACTCAGCTCTGCTCGGCCCACATGTTAGGATGTGTGTGTGCGTGTGTGTTTCCTCACCCAGCCTCTTGCAATACTCAGGGGGAGGTGCTGCCAGACAGGTGACCCCGCCGGTGTGACCTCCTAAGTTCTTGTGCTCTGTTGCAGTGGGAACGTGCCACACCTTCACTGTCGTATCTCGACTTAAGAGTGAGAATGACGGACGGGAAGAAAAAGGGAGGGCCCAGGAGGAAAGAAAGAGAGAGGGGGGAGAAAACAAGCAAAGTTAAAAGGCGTTCCACATAAACCGCAAGAGATTTGCGCCGAGTGATCAGGCGGAGGAAGAAAACCAAATATATGTCAGACAGCGAGGGAGAGAGCAAGAGCCTATTAAGTGATAAATTAGGTGAAATGTTCACTTTGCATATCCATTATGCAAATCGAGTCTTCTTTTCCTGCTTTACCTCCCAGAAACCACCAGGTTGTCAACAGCAACCACGCAGGTGACTATGTCACTGTGACCCTGCAACAGCCTCAAGCGAAACTTCGCCTTCTCCCACGACGCTTTGAGGGATGTAAATTCAGCTTCTGTAAAAGAAATGATTTGTGCAATTAGCAGTGTTGACTCATCAGCACCCTGGCTCGTTAATCTACACACTTCTTCAATATGGATTAGTCTGCCACTGCAAAGCGTGGGGCTAAATTAGCTCCAAGGATGCAAAACGTGGGCCCTGTCTTCAGGGAAGCATATGCAGCCAGTTGGTTTTAAAACTGGCAGCCTCGTGAGCTTGTTAGGACTCCTTCGGGGCAAAGAAGAATAATCTGATTTTAGATGTTAATCACAAATTAGGGCACCGCTTTGTGCTTTTAACTGCCAGTGACAAATCGTAACGGCAATCTCTACAGCCACTTTTCTTAATTATCCCACCTTCCTGCCGTAGTAGCCGCTCCTCGTCAGAGCCCGCGCAGTCGCCTGACACGTCCCGACAGTTATCTGACACCTTGGCCGCCGCTGTCCTTTCCCGCTCTCTGCCCATCTCCGCCTTCCTCTGCCTGGCAGCCGGGGCTGGCGCTGCTTGAGCTCTGGACTCCTCTTCTCCCTTAAGGATCTTGGAGGCTGGAGGCGTCTGTGATGGAAGGGCCTCAGGGACATCCTCCCTGTGCCAGTGCAGAAAGCAGGTGCTGAATATATAATCGAGATGCAAACTGCACACAGTCACAGCTTGGTGACAGTGAGGATACCTGCGGAGGATCTCCAAGTGTCATACAAACTAAAATAATACTCCTGTAAGAGTAGTAGTCTGTAGTCTGCCTGCCAGGAGAAAATCAGCGTACTTCATTCAGTTTTATGTTAATGTCCACACACATGCGGATTTCCCTCCTTAGGGGCTCCAATAAGGACAACGACATCCCTGAATGATGTTTACACATGACGAGCAGGAGAAAGTTCCAAATTTCCTAAAGCATGACAGTATTTGACCTGCAATGTGTTTGGATAGACATACAAAACAGATCAAAGGCTTCAAAGTGAATGTTGTTGCTTTTGAAGAATTATGTTTCTCTTCATCTGCCCCCCCACCCCGTGGCTGGTACCTCTCCCTCACTTCCTTACACTTGTCTTTTCATCTTCTCCTTTTTTCCGTCTCCCACAATCCCAAGAGTTTGCTGCGGGCCAGAAAGCTGCAGCTGAAGCTCAGCCAATCTGGAACGAAGCTCCGCCTTCCTGGAGATCTGAGAAGGGAAGAGGCACGAGATTGGTTGTAAACCAAGCTGCTAAATCCACAAGTTGTTTATATGCACAACCAACATACCCGGCCTGTCTCGATTTATTAGACTGCAGCCCGCAACATACAGCATACTCCTGTTAGATTGTGAGCTTTGAAATATGCATGAATGAGTGAATCAAGCGTGTCAATTTTAGATTAGGTGGCTGGTTCCTCGGTTAAAGGAGCACTCCCCTAGTTTTTATTTCTCAATTTATTTGTCAGCGTTTTACTCTGCCTGTGAAAATCAGTGTTTGTATCTTTCGTGGCTCTCGGCGGAGCTTCGAAATCATGGTGGTTTTTACCAGCAGGAGATTGCGGAATACAGATTTTTAAAACACGGGTTCAGGCATTTGAAAATCTCCAAGGCGCAGTGCATCTAACACGCTTTTTCATTGTGGGAAATGTATTCTTAAAACAGAACAATAAAGTGTTGCTGTGTAATCGTAATATTTGATCATCAGCTGTGGAAGAGCCACTTTAATCTAGGTAAGACTAGTTAAGACTGCCGTCTACTTTTCTAATTAAAAAAGGAACCAGCAAATATATCTGTCAGATCAATTATTTAAAGAAAAGGCACAACGTTTCACTCTAAAACAGGGGTATCAAACATGCAGCCTCTGCAGGCCACAACTGGACCACCTATTGTGGCATGCACATATATATAAATACCTAGAATGGACAGGAGGACAGGCTAGAGGTAGCAGAGCTGAAGATTTTCATTAGGAGTGGATTAGATCAGAATGACAGCTCAAATAAGTATCAAGGCAGAGATGGTTTGGAGTTGTGCATGGGAGGGATAGTGGAGATACTGGACAAAGGATGCTGAACGTGGAGCTGTGTGTAGTGAAGGAGGACATGCAGAGGGCTGATGTGAGAGAAGAGGATACTAAGGGTAGGTGGGAAGAAGATGATCGACTGTGGCAACTCCTAAAGGGAACAGCCAAAAGAAGAAGAAGAAGAAGATTGTATTTTGTTGGATAAAAATTGTTTTGAAAGAGGTTAATGATTCAGACCTCTAAGATCATGACATGAGCCATTCTTCTCATTTTTACAGGCTTCTTATAAACAAAGACATTCCCTGTGGCAAGTAGGTTTTGGAATGAAGATCCATGATCACGAAGTTACAGGTTTCTTTGTAATAACAGAACGTGGAAAAACTGCACTTATTTTTCTAAAACATCTCAGGTTGCACTTCATCTGTTTTGTGAATGGGAGGCTTGTTAAACGCATTCAGAAGGTCGATCTTCACATTGTATAAGAAAAAAGGAGAATTTAAAAGTCTGCTTTTATTACATGATTACTATGAAGTGTTTTCACCGGTAGGACCCACCTGAGATCAAACTCGGTTCCTAGTGGCCTATGAACTTAAATGAGTTTGACACCGCTGCTCTAAAATGTAGCGAAGTAGAGAAATAAATGGTAATGCTGAAGGAAAGCACATCAAAATTAAGTTTCTTCTCCCACACGGCAAAGTAACACTTCATTTTTCACCTTTATTGGATTATTGTGATCTGCTCTTTATGAAAGAATCCCACTACGTTGGATACTCTAAACCATTGTGCCTTACCTTTTATTACTAGCTGTGAAAACTGCACATAACACTGTTCTCTAAAGTGATAAGAAGCCAGCTGTATATGTCCAAAGACTAAAGCAGGCTGTTATAAATGAATCTCTCCTTGGCCTGGTTCCTTCCTCTGATTGGTTTAAATACACATGTGTTTAAACCACGAATGTTTGCTTGCAGAGTCGAAATAAAGTCAGACGCACCTGCTCCTCTTCCTGGTTTCTCCTATGGAACAAGCTGAGATGTTTGAACTGGTTAGTATGGGGATTTTTAAGCTATTTTTTAAAAGACTGCAGAGGCAGCAGGTGCATTTACTCCTAAATTTGCACTATAATTGATTTGAAATTGTACCCGTTTTGATCTTTTCCTGCACATAAAGTCGATATCATCTTCCCTGTATTGGTTTTTTAATCTAAACTTTCATCACATTAAGTAAAGGACACAATAAAGCCACTTTCAGCTGCTTCCTTATCCACGAGGGGTCGCCACAGCAGGTGGCTTTGCAGATGTTTTTTTTTATGCTGGCTGCTTTTGCTGACGTAACCCCCAGGGGATTGGTTTCTCCTCCTGGGATCAAACTGAGGATCTTTCACTTGTTAGGCGAGTGTGTAAACCACTACATTGTGAAGCAAAGGATGCAATACTAAAAACTCTGAATATAACTGCATTTTAACAACACTGCAAAGAAAATGTTGCTACTCTTTTATGTTTTTCAGTCGCTTCATCACATTGCAATAGAGAGACGATCTGTTTTTATAAATAAGAACTGATTTAATTTGCACAATATGTTTGTTATTGTCACCGTTTCATATTACCTTTATGTTTTGATTTGTTTTTTTATGACGTAAAGTGTAAATGCTCCCGACTGACTTCCTCATAATCAGCTGATTTTTTAGACTTTATCATTTGGGTTTGCTCAATGATACCGTCAAATATGTCAGTGGTTGTTCCTGCTGCATTTCGTTGCCTCAATCCCTGTTAATCTTGTGTCATTTTTCTTTTTGCATAAGATGGCGTGTCCCTTTCACTCACTTTATGAAACTTTAGAGGGAAGCAAGGTCATTATGCTAACAGTGAAACTAAAAAAAGAACTAAACTGATACAAGCTAAATCACTCTTTGAAACAAAATTGAATTAAAAACAAAATGTCAAAAAACTCCGGCGGGAAGCATCCAGTTGCTGTGATACTTGTAGTGTCCTAATCTGCTGGCTCATCTCAGATCATCCTCTGTGATCCAGGTCCTACTTCATTTTCAGAATAGATATATTCAGGATCCTCTTTCCAAACTGAGGGTTTTACTGCATATACATAATTCTGGCAACACAATATTATAACCAGTATTTTACATAAGTGGGGCTCATTTATTTTAGTTTAACATCCATTTCTGTTTCTTAAATGGACAGGTATGCATAAACTTCTATTATGTAAGGTAACAAAACCTTTTTACCCTAACTACAGCTGGAAATATGCATAGTTACACCATAAAGGTCAGGTTTAAGCCAAGAAATTATACAGAATCTGATTATACAGAACATGTCAGTACCAATGTTGCTTTTTCATTTCACAGCCAAACGCTGCATTCGTAAGTGCTGAAATGTGACTGTATTAGAAAATGCCTTTGGCACAGAGGGAATCACAGCGAGATGATGGAGATGAACCTGGTATCTAAACGCAGGTAAATATTACAGCTTTCACGTGCTTTGACTGGCCATCTATCTCAAATGTTGATATGACCCTTGAAGGTTTACCCAGCATGCAATGTTTGACGTTTTCTCCAGTGAATGATGAGAAAACAAATCAAACATGAAGGATGCCATTGCTTGTTTGTGTTACTCCATGTCACAGAGATTAAACTGGTGTCATGCAATTGAAACTATGATGTACAAAGTTTGTCTTTAGACTTTGACACCTGGAGTTTTATATATGTTATTATATATACAGTTATAGATAGAGAGAGAAAAAAAAGCTCCAAATTTCAGCCCACCTGAGGCCCTGCAACTCATAAAATGCTTATATAGTAAGAAGATAACAACTTTCATGGATTCATTAAATAGACTAAAGTTCTGAGGGGTCAGGTGGGAAGCACTGGTTGTTTTTCATTGAATGAAGGTTCTCAAACTGACGGAACCAGCTAAACTTAAGGTTTAAAGCTCCGTCCAGATCCTTTACACGTGCTTTTAAAAGTGCCTTCATCTAAGAATATATAATTAAAAGAAAAACGATCCTATTTCAGATGATGTGCAGGCTATTTTCCACAACTATGAATGCAGGTGTGTCTTGAAATTGAAATTTTGGCTTGCATTGTTTATGCACAAAATGTTTGGGGAAAAACGCTGCGAAATGCCTTTCAGCTGGAAATGTGTGTCACGCCATGCATGCATGCATTTACAGTCCTGCTGCCAGAACCAGGGGCAGCTTAGTACACGGAAATCACTGCTGTGGGGCTCGGCCACTCTCTTATTGCATTCACATTCTGGTCTTTAACACGCAGAGGCTCTCCTGAAGTTTCTGATTATTATATTTTCCAGATGCATTCGGCTCAACCTGTGATCTTCTGCTGTTCCTGGGGCGAAAACTGTCAAATTATTCATTGCACGGTTATTATTAATGCATGTTAATCATGGCTTTACGATGCCAACACTGTTATTTTTAAGAAGCCTTACTTCACACCTTTTTGCAGCTGACTTGTACTGTGTGGCAAACCTCTAATGCTTACATTGACTGTGTGGTCTATTGAATAGACAGCTTTGTTGTAGTGACTGTCAGCAGGTCAATATCTATCTGATGTTTTTAATTTAGGCTAAATGTGTGTCTGTGCTGCTCTTGCAGGTATAACCTCGTGCTTCACCTGAGGGAAATTTATTCAGGATTTACACACAGGCTACACGGAGATGTAATGAAGAGGGAAAGGCGAATGAAGTGTTTCTGTACCTTGAATCTTTCCTCTGGGGTGAGATTGATTTTTATTTCCAGATTTTCAATCTGTCTCAACTTCTTCTGCAGCTTCCTCACCTCCCCCATTGGCGTTGTCTAACCCGGTTAGCTACACTTTAAAACTGGCTTTCAAGTTGGAAGAGAGCGTCAAACAAACAGCATTTCCTTTAAATAAAGAGTCTGAAGCGGTTTAAATAAATAAAGATGCATCGAGAGGCTTAGCAGGGCGGCTCAGAGACGTGTCGCCGGATGTTGACGATGTGTTAGAGGTGTATTACTGTCCTTACAGCGCCATCATGTGGCCCGTTCAGAAAGAGGTGCTAAATCCCGTTAATAAATAATAAAAGTACACCATGTCCTTACTTAAAAACACTGTCATGCGTATGTACGGTTTCGCATACACGAAATGATATAACTGTGTGAGGCTCTTCTTCAAAATCCAGGCCCTGAAGGTCACCATGACAACCGGAGGACAGAGCTGTAAAACTGTGCTGCATTCAAATGTACTCCCTATAGCTTGTATTTCTGAGCGTCCGACGAGTGAAAGACACTCGTTAAAAAATAAATGAATAAATAAAAAATTTAAGGAAACACAAAGTCGGTTAAACTTCATTATTCAGAGATAACAATGTGTCCAGTTAGGAAGCACTAACCACTGTGGATCGTTTAACCTGCTTTGGTGCAAAGAAAGTGACAACATGAATAGTGGAGAGGCAACAACAAACAGCACTCCCCCCCCCCCCCGCCAAAAAGTGTATGCATTTTATCCAAATGCTTTATTAATCCCAGTGGAAAATTGTTTTGTTACAGGTGGTCACTTTAAATATAAATATGAAAGATTAAAAAAGTTAACTCTCTATAAAAAATAAGTAAAAATAAGTGGAATATTAATTTTAATATTCCAAAGTTAAAATGATACTATGCAGAGTATAGACAGGATATTGCAAGTGAAAATAGTCCATTTATGATAAGGAAAGTTGTAAAGATGGCCAGAGGTAGGAATGATGTCCTGTAGAATTCTGTAGTGCATGTGGCTGAATGAGTATTTCCTGAACACGCTCCAGCACAAAATGAAGACAGCGTGACGGATTGTGCAATATTGACAATAGCTTAGACAGTATCCTCCTTTCTGACACCTCTGTCGGAGAATCAGGCTCCACACACACAACATTATTGGCCTCGCGAATCAGTTTATTCACTCTGTTGTTATCCACTTCCCACATTCTGCTGCTCCAGCACACTACAGCACAGCACACGGCTCACGACAGACTCATTTTGCATGTGGTGTCCATAGATCATTGCATTCAGTTTGTGTACTATTTTTCTTTCTTTTTTTTCTAATTTGCTTTTTCCTAGTGCGCTTGTCATTAATGCATGAGACACTATCTGCAGGCCATTCAGGTTGCAGAGGTACTCCACCTCCTCCTCCTCGACTCAAGAGTGGTAGAAGTCGTAGATCCATAGAAGGGCATTAACCCACCAGGTCTGGTACCTGCTCCTTTACTTGAAGTGGAACAGGAGGAGCACTGACAGAGCCCTACAGTGCATATTTCACCTGTGCTCACAGACCAGCACCATGCATCTTCATTGGCATTTGCCAGAGAACTGGCAGATCTGTCTGTTTCATCCTGGGCAATTAATTTGTTTCTTTTATATATATATAT